GGGCCCAGGCTCGGTAGGCCCACCCGAAACGCCGCAGTAGGGCTGATATGAATTAATAGAATAGAGTAAATGTTATTAGTCCCACAGTGGGGACATTCACTCATTACAGCAGCACACACACTTAGAGAAACAGATTACAGGTAAAACTAAGATTCCAGCCATGTTTGCTTTGATAACTTCAATCAATTCTCTTTTTTCTTGTCAGTGGCTCTTGTGTTCTTCCGTACAGAGTGGAAATAAATAAATGAAATGCAGAGCACAAAAAGTGACCTACCCAAAAACTACCTACTCGCCAAACAGAGTTTCAGTGAGGACTAGCTTATAACTCCCCCTCATTAGAGAGGTTAAGCATTTTTAGAAGCTTTGCTGAAAAGGGGCCACTTTTTACTCAAAATGAGGGTTTACGTATTGTAAAACAAAATACCCACAATAAGCATTTCAAACAGTATTTTTGGGGACAGCATTTTATATGAAATTAAATAAAATGTCATCTGCAATTTGCTCTTTAACAGTTTCTTTGTGTTTTAACACCTAAAAAGGTCTCTCCAAATTCCTGATGAGGCTGCAGCTCTTAATGGATGTTTCCTGAATGTTTTAGGCATTTATTCAAATGACATTACAAAAGTATTTTATCTTCAGAGGAGTTCAAAAGTTGTTAGTTAAATCTAGCAAGGCTTTGGTGAACAATCCATTGATATTATTGACTGAGCAGTCAACTTATTTATTTCACTGAAAAAGAATCTCTTTAGCAAACTGTTCACTTTCATTCAAACTGGCACTAATCACAATAGCAATTACTAACGAACCCTGGATTTCCCTGATTTTCATAAGAGGGTGTGGTTTACATGAGCAACCATTTAGATAAGGCTGAGTACAAGTTCATTAGCAGAGTTAGCTAGCTAACACACACCACACACAATTAGCCCAGAGGAGAGGGAGAGGCTGAGGCAGATTCCTATCACCGCCAGTCTCTGAAAACAAAGAGAATAGCTTGACACACTATCTCTCAAATCAGCAGCTGATTACGAAGCATCCGTGGCAAGAAATGAACACGAGACAGAAGATCAGCGTGGAGATTTGCTTAAGGACATACTTGTAGAAACAAGGGGAGATAGCGAGTGGAGCTGGCTGGGTGTTCCACATCAGAGACCCGGCACTCGGGTCTGAACAGAGAGGAGCCGGCTATCAGATTAATACTGAGTCATTCAGTAACGCTCCTCTGCTGTTCCACACAGAAAGACAATCAGAGAACAGGAGGCAACCAAGGACTGCACTTGACACAAGTTACTAAAGTGGAGATGAAATACAGGGAACAAAAAAAGTTCAATTACAGGATGTAGATTGTGGAGCCTTTTGTTGTTACTCAGCAAAAGGGAAATGGTATGGAGGTGCTTCAATAGAGTCACCAAAGCAGGTGGACATGTTCCGTGTCAGCCCAGCTCATTAAAAGGCTTCACTTTCTTTTTATGTAATGGACATTAACACAGCCTATTCAGATGCACACGCGCGGTGATTAAAAATTATCTGCTGGTGATCCTAATCACAGCTGCTTAAAGTTAAGCCAAAGAATAACAAAGAACTTTTGAAACGCCGAACTATCTGAACATTTACAAAGAGATTAAAGAGGAGACAGTCTCAAACTAAACAAATTTGCTTTTAATCAGTTTGAACAGCAAGTCACATAATTTCAAATGTCCCTATCTGATTGTCTGATTCCCTCTCCTTTATTCAAATTACAACATGCACATCTGACTTTTCCAACACAATGGGAAAAATTAAAAAGGGAAATGACCTTTCATGGAAGTGATGAGAGGGTGAATGGCATTATTATGCGGCAAGATTAATTTCTGCCCACTTTACGCTGGCCATTGACCAAACACAGAAGGGGCATGAATGCCTCGATTCATTGGGTGGTGTATCATACAGATGTCAAATAAAAAAGCTGGTGATTTTAACTCGATAATTCAGCAAAGAACACATCTTGCACACATTTAAAATCAAATAGAGTAATGCTCAGAAATGTTCCTATGCTAATCTTGGAATGCCATCTTAATGTTGGCATTTTAACAATTGTTTCTGATGTGATTAATGATTATACAACATACTGGTTTAAACAAACAGAAGTACAGTTTTAGAATAAAAGCGTATTTTCTTTTTGCTGCACAGAGTAAAATTATAGATAACGGTTTAGGTTTCAGCCACTTTAACAAGTGGCTCATCAGGTACTAGCAGGCGTTGCTTTTTTACCCTGATAAGACCAAGGACATGGCCCGACTTACAGATACTCATCTGTCATCGTAATAAGAAGTTGGTTTGAATGTTCAAGAACAATCTAATCCAATCTAACTCGAAATGGAAATTGCTGGAACACAAGTGTCGCTGTCCATGGTGTCCAGTTTTACATCACAATGGACCAAAAGCTCCTTTTCCAACAAGGACACATTCAAGCTCAACTGCAGTTTGTATCTGTCCACATGGATGAGACAAATGTTTTCAGCAGAAAACCTTTAAAGGTTGAATATATATATATATATATATATATATATATATATATATATATATATATATATATATATATATATTCTTTTTTTTAATACCTCCACGGGGCATTTAGAGCTGTGTTGAATGACGGTATATCTTGTAACAGCTGTATTAAAAAATAATCAAACATTTTGACAGACTTAACACCGGGGTTATGTTTACATCGACCAGCCAATAAAGGGCACCACTGCAGGTTGCCAAATACAGTAAACAATCCGATCGGCACAGCGAGGCTGGCACTGTGGAAAATGGCGGACTCGGCAAGTCAAGCAGTCAATTTAAGCTTGTCTTTTTAAAACCTGCCAAAGCTTTATGTTGTAAAACTGTTAAAATGAATAATTAAAAGCCTCAAATGTCTGACTTTCATGCTCATGATGAGTGTATGTAAGCCTTTGACTGCAAATGTAAAAGGATGTCTGTTGGTTTTGTGGTATTTTTCAGTCTGGAAAGTAGAACAGATTAGGACATACTGTGTTTATAGCGTGGAACCATTCGTTCTGTGGTTTTCACCATGAAGCTGACATCATGTCTGACATCACTTCCTTTGCAGCTCAGCTACTTTTACCAAATGCAAGAGATACTTTCCTTCAATCAAATTCCACTCTCCCATCTCCCTCACTACAGCCAGTCCAGCAGAGTCCTTAATTCTCATCCTAATGGCTGCAAGGACAGGAAAGCATAATTACAGTCACTCATTCATCTAGTCATAGTGCATTCATCCCTGCTTTTCAGAGCAGTGTTTTGGGCTCAGCATTTCCTCACCCAAAAGGACCTTTTTTTTCTTTATTTTTCTGCATGTGATGCCTTTTTTTGTCATGGCCCCCATAGTTCTGAGCTGACCCCCTCAGCCCTGTCTTCCGACTGATCACAGTGATGGTTTATTACTGTCGTCCCAGCACTCTTATCTTTAGCCTGCAATGCTCATTTCCTTCCCCAGATTTAAATGCAAATGTGAAATTTAATGATAAATGCATTATCTGATGAGTGTGATAACACTGATTCACTGTCAGTATAAAATACACACCCCAGGGGGCTTTGAGCTAGCGAGCGCAACTTGCCCAAAACCACTTTTTTTTCTCCAGTTCTATCTTTTCCCTTTCTCCGTCTCTCTCCTGCTATTTCTCACAAACTCGTATACCTGCATTAAATTCTTGAAGTCCTTTCATGCATTCAAAGGAATCACATTGTGTCTGTTCAGCTGTGTGCACGCAGGCTTTGCTGTGCAGAAATTGCAGAGTGACAACCATGTTCAGCGTATTATCCATCACTTTGATGAAGTTATTTACTGCTGTAAAGTCTTTAGGATGGCAACACTGGTTTAAGGGAATTTTTTACATGCGATTCAGTGTTTTGCTAAGGCATCACTTAATAAATACTAATAAATGCTCATTAGTTACATTCAGAGCTCGCAAAATGTCAAAGTACCACTAATTTAGCAAAACCATAGAAAATGCTGCAGTAGTAATGACTTCATAAAACGTAAACAGTTTTATAGAAATCTTGAAGCAAGCCAATGCAGTTGTTGCCAAATCTGTCAAGATTAACTTTGTAATATTTTAAGCTGAGACACGCTCTATCTCATCTATAAACTGCACATCAATTTTAAAAATAACCAAAAGAAGATCAAAGATGATCAAAAGAAATGTTAAAGCTGCAAACACTGGCTCAAAATGGTCACCATGGTAACCACCAGTGCTCATTAAATACATGATGGTGATCACACACCTGTGTCTCTCACTCCCCGACCACTGGAGGCCAACAAGAGTGTAGATTAAAAGTAAATCTCAGACCAACAAAAAACATAAATATTATTGAAAACATTCCTGAATTTTTGATGCTCTGTGTACGTTTTTACACACGTTTCTGGTGTTATTTGTTGGATATCTGTTAAGAGAAATAGGCCCTTTACTTTCTGTTTTCAGGGGATTAGCTGAATCTGAATTGTAGCTGCAGCCAGTGTGAACACTCTGCTTTCAGAAAGGATTTGACAGAAAATCAAAACTTCTGCAGAAGTAAAAAAGTAAAAGAATGCCCACAAGAACAATTTGCAAAGTTCCAATGTCGATGTGCAAGACTTCATCAAATGCCAGCTTGATAATCGGTGGAAAAATCTCTGCAAATCAAAAACATTTAAAATGTGAAGGAAAAATAAAAATAAAAGCCAGAAAATTCACATAAAGCTTTTTGGGAAGACTTACTGAATTATAAAGCTCTGAGTTTTCCCATCTGTTTTGCAAGAATTCCATTCTTGTCTACAAGGAAAATATTCGCAGTTTCTTGCTACTTCTCATATGTAGTTTGATCAGCTGCATGATTCTGTTTAGGCTGCTGGTGAGTAACAGACACACATCTCAACAGAATCACAAACACACTGGTAGTAATGCTGCCTATGCTTATGCACCTGTACCCTTAATGATCCTTGCGGTCCCTCTAGTAAAGTGATATAAAGCTTTTCTTACGTGGACCGTCCCACTCTTCAGGTCCCACAGCAGCATGCCGGTTCTTCTCACTTTGACCCTCCATCTCTGTCACTTCTGCTTCTCGGTTTGTGTCTTCCTCTCCTGCAAGGAAGGAGAATTTAATGTTCAGACACCTAATTTAATTATGCGCTGCATTAAGGACTGTGTTGACCTTCTAGTGGATGGTTTATATTGGACATTGGGAAGTCCTGTAACATTAGAACCATTGCGTGTTGTTGTGTGTGCGTAGCTCTGTATATGTGCATTTGCAGTGAGCTCACCAGACCCAGCTGCACACTTTTGTTTGAAAGGAGTACCCATGAGGCCCTGCAGGGACTGGAGGAAGCTCCATGAAACAGGAAGGAAAGCAATGTGTGGGAAAGAGGTGGCTATTTATTACGCTTTTGATCTATTGTGGAGTGAGTTAGAATGCCTGTTCAAGGATGTGGTGCTGATTTACAGTCTTGGGGCTCATGTAGACTGTGCGAAGGGATATTTGGGTATCTCTCTCCAGGATGTAAATGCTTAAAGGCTGAGTTAAACACAATCCACCTCTGCATGTGCGGCAGTAACACTTACAGCAAGGCTTGTTGAGCACACTTTGACGCACTTACTGTAAAATAAAATCTATTTTGCATTTCTACAGTAAGTACAGTTTGCTCTCAAAGTTTATGAGAACATAAATCAGTGCTTAGCAGATGCCCATAGTGTGGAGCTCTAAATAAATCCAATGTAGCTGACAGTGCATCTCCAAACTCAAGTGAGAAGGAAGAAAACCTGCTCAGGGTGTAAAGTGGTGGCTGTGGATCATTTCTGTCACTTTTGCCACCACATCTCTTTCATCCCTTTGATGTTTTAAACTCAATAGTAAATGGTCAAGGACAGGCCAGGATTACCACTGTGGATTATTACACTTTATACTTTCTTCGGGGGAAAATAGAAAGCATGTGTAGATTCATGTGCGTACATGTGAATAAATTAGATACATTGTTAGGATGCTACAGGGCATTGATTTTAAAGTAATAAATTATTACATTACAGCTATATTGTGCTACATTTAGCTTTAAATATGAAGCTAAAATACAAATAAATATAAATGTGTTTATTTCAACCAATTATTTACACACAGAATGAGACTCCTGGAGAATGATAGCAACCTACCAAAACAAATTCCTGGTGAAGGAACCCTCTATCTGTTACATCTCAGAGTGGGCTTGTTCGGGATGGGCCAGTTCTGCGCAGAATCGATCACCGGTTAGATTTGTGTCCGACTTAACGCCGACTTGCTCTGACGTCGTGCATACGTAGGCTACGATAACCTCGTGAGACCAAGGCGGCCGCAGATTTTGGAGCAAGGTGCTGCAGTTGCTCTCCACCGGCTGTAAAACCTAGGGCATGGCGGGAAACGCCTGGCGGGAAACGTCTGGCTCTCACCTGATCTAAGACCTGTTCGGTTCACATTTTGATCCAAACATCCGGTGGAAGAATGCAAAACGGTAGTTGGTCACATGTATTCTGTAAATCATGTAACACTGATGGTGACAACTATATAGGCCATAAAGAGAAATGTGTTTTGTGTTATTTTCTCACGTTTCCTATGAGCACACTAAACCTACAGCTGATAACCTTTACTTATTATTACAGTCATGTCTCCATATGCATTATATCATATCCATAAGCACGCGAGGATGTGTTTCAGCTGCTAACAGGCACCAGAATTAAAATGAATAATTAAACAATTATGAACTCTAGCCAACTCTAACGTGATATCTTCATCCGTCATCACCTGCGAGCTACACATGTAGGGACATCTGTTTGACTTAAACGCCGGCTTTGAGCCACTCCCCCTGCTGCGTCCGTCTGCTCTCGTCTGTTTTCCAGGTGAGGCGCAGCACAACTCGAACAAGCTCAGTGCCTTTGACAGTGGTGGGCAGTCAGGGCCAGCAAAGCCTTCTCTGCTGGCCTAAACTTACTCAAAAACGTAAATGTATTTTTTTTTCCTTTGGTAAATATTTTTTCAATAAAAATATGTTCACTGGTCAATTTTCTTTTTATCCTATTATACCCATTTGGTTGCGCTGCTTCTAGTGTTGAAATACCAAGGTTGGGTGTTATCCAATCAGATTTAAGCTAGCTTGTGTTTTCAGGCAGATTAAGTCTGCTCTAGGCCTTCAGACTCAATCGAGAAGCCCACTGTCCGCTGTAAGTGAACAGAGACGAGCCAGTTGCGATAGCCAATCAGCTCACGAGTCAGCTTGGCCCGGGCCAACTAGCTGGCCTCACGCAAAAGTTGACATGAACGCATCCTGTGATTGGATAAGCGGTAGTTTGAACTTTTCTAGCGGCATGAAGCAAAATATCAAAACTAAACACGGAGATAGGCAGCTATCGGTGTATTTTTGAACACATGATGGCTGAAAGAGGAGAAGGGACGGACTTGGTGGCAGATTTACTTGCCACACCATTTTCAAGACGGACCTTTCAAGAAAAAATGGATCTTGTGAGAACAGGTCGTCCGACTCCAATGCTAGCTGGCTTGTCCCAGCAGGGGAAAGGATTTGTTCGTCATTTTCAGGCAAGCAACTATGAACGGTACCCATGGCTAACAGCTTCAGAGAACCGCTGCAGGCTATTCTGCTGGGAATGCCTGTTGCTCGCATCAGATCGATTTGGTATTTGGAGTTTTACTGGATTTGCCAATTTAAGTTGTTTCACCAAGGCAGCAAAGAGACACCAAAGCACGGCTGGCCACTTACAAGCTACGGTGCTTTTAAAAACCTTTGGGGACACCCGAGTGGATCTGCAGCTCAGTGAACAGGCGCGCAAGGACACGGAGCTCCACAACGAAAAGGTGAAGAAAAATAGGGAGATATTGAAAAGGCTGATGGATTGTGTCATATTTTTGGGTAAACAAGAACTTTCATTTAGGGGACATGATGAAAACCCCCAGTCATTAAATAGAGGGAATTATGCGGAGCATATCTTTTCTTGCTGAACATGACGCCGACTTGCATTACCACCTGACCACCAACAGGGTCTTTACTGGGACATCAGGCAGAATACAAAATGACCTCATTTATGCTATTGCAGAAGTGATGGGAGGTGAGATCAAAATAGAGATCAGAAGAGCCCCTTTTGTCGCCGTCATGGTTGATGAAACCACAGACGTGGGTAACGTGGCACAGCTGGCACTCGTCCTGCGCTATGTGACAGCCACAGGTGTCAAGGATCGTTTTGTCAAATTTGTGGATGTAACTAGTGGCAGGCGAGCTGATGACCTTGCCGCGCTTATTTTCCGTATTCTTGAGGAATATGAATGCTGTTTGGACAAAGTAGTTGCACAGTGTTACGATGGTGCAGCGGTGATGGCATCTGGACTAAACGGGGTGCAGGCTAAAGTTAAGGAAAAGGCACCTATGGCCTTATTCATTCACTGTTATGCACATCGTCTTAATTTAGTGCTGACTCAAGGGGCCTCAAAGCTTAAAGAGTGCAAGGTCTTTTTTGCCAATCTGAATGGCCTCGCTGCGTTTTTCTCCAGATCCCCGAAGCGCACACAGTTGCTGGATGATGTGTGCAAACGGCGTCTTCCTCGTGTTGCGCCAACACGGTGGCAATATTCATCAAGACTGGTGAATGCAGTCTTTGAGAATCGAGTTGCTCTAAAGGAGTTGTTTGGTCACATATTGGACCATCACGACGAGTATGATGAGGACACCGTGCTTTCTGCAGATGGATTTAACGCACGGCTGGACGATTTTGAGTTTTGTTTTTTGCTCAACACATTCAATGGGCTTTTTGAGTATGCTGATGTGCTTTTTGGAATACTGCAGACCAAATCATTGGATGTGCAATTCTGCATGGCCAGGCTGAACGAGTTTTGTGACAAAGTTGAGCAAGAGAGGGGCAATTTCAGTGAGATATATGAAGAAGCAATGCGCGCCTCCGGTGGTCCAAGTGTGCGCAGAGGCCAACGCACGGCACAAGGTGATCTCCGTGCACATTACCAAAAACTCCACAACAGCATTCTGGACAGCATTCTTTCCCAGACAAGGAATCGATTTCAGGACCATGAAATGTTGATGTTTCTCTCCCTTCTTGACCCCCAGCACTTTCAGACATACAGAAAAAAATTCCCGACAGCAGCCTTCTCCAGCTTAACACAGAGCCATGGACCACTGTTTGATCTTCCCCGACAAAACAGAACTGACTGTAATGTATGCTATGGCTGATTTTGAAGGAAAAAGTCCCGCTGATCTACACGATTTTCTTCTCAGCAAAAACCTGAGTGAGAGTATGGGACAACTTTACGCACTGGCCTGTTTGGCTGTGACTATCCCGGTGTCCACTGCCTCTGTTGAGCGCTCATTCTCAGCATTAAAGCGCGTAAAAACGTACGCCAGAAACACGACCGGACAGACACGACTTTCAGCATTAGCCTCCATGTTCATAGAAAAGGCTCTACTCATGGACCTGAAGCGCACAGATAAACTGTATGACAGAGCCATTGAGGTTTTCCTGAGGAGAGAAAGAAGGATGGATTTTATTTTCAAATGAGCAGGAGAGAAGGAGATCCATGCTGGACATTTATGTTGGTGAGTCGAAACATTTTATTAGTATTTTTTTATGTTTTGTCATTTCATTTCGTTAATAATCAAGAAATGGTAACGAGATAAAATGGCTAAATGAAATTATTCTGTTTATGCAATTAATATTGTGTACAACGTGGTGTGCGCAGCTGCGCCCACATTGTTTCGCGGTGCCATTTTCTCCTAAACAAATGCAAATGTGTTTGCTTTACTTATTTATTTTATTGTCTCATCTCTTAAACCTGTCTTTCATTTTTGAGATTTGACAGTATCTGTGGTCCTAGCTTCCTACCCTCAATTGGGAATGCGAGTTTGATTTCAAAGGCTCCGGAAATTACATGTCTTGACCAGCCACTGGTGTGTGTGCGTGTGTGTGTGGGAGAGAGAGAGAGTGAAAGAGAGAGGTTTCTCCAGCTGTGATGTCATATTGATGGTATTTTAAGGTGTATTAATTTAGATTGGATTGAATAGGAAATCACTGAAGGCGCAGGGGTGGAATGCACCGCCCGCCAC